ATGTGACGCTGTGTTTTCCTTGCTTTCGTAGTGGATTTACTACGCGATTTTGCTCATTCTAACCCCAAAGGACCTGGTTCCTTTTTTAACTCTTCTCTCGGATCTTCCCTTTTTAATGATCTAATCTTATCATCGCCTTATTAGTCCAAGCTACGCCCCATTAGGCCAAGGCTTTGAGGAGTTCTGATTGAATTTTACCACCGCCCCATTAATCCAAGCTACGTCCCATTAGTCCAANNGTCCAAGGGTTTGAAGAGTTCTCATTCAGTGTTTTTCATTCTCTGGCATGTGGAGTATTATTTCCCATGAGTTAAGGAACAACGACTGCATCATCAGCATCTGGAAACAGGGAAAGGCTAGGGTGAGGGAAGGTCTAGACCCTATTTTGGCAGAAATTCATTTAAAAAAGACCCTAGGCCAGGCCTACCTAAACCAGGGAGAACCCTATCTGGCCAACCCCCTAAAACCATCAGCCTGCAGCGGTTCTAGGCTTAGCCGCGCGCCATCAAGACAAACAGATTTAGGATTAGGCGGGTGATTTTTTCGTATGGTTTGGGTATATAGGATTTGTGTAAAGCCTGTTTTTTTAAAACTGGGTATGCTTTCGCATAGGTTTTGGCTACAATTTTGAGGGATACCGTAGTGGTTTTATGGACTATGACAATATCAAATCCATAGGGTTAAGTTGGGATTTGTTTGGGGGGGTTAGGGTTTAGAAAGTTTAGGGTTCAGGGATCAGGGTTTAGGATCAAGGTTTCCATAATAGATATGGGGGCCATACTGCGTTCTCTTTACAGGGTTTCCAAACACATGTCTCAGCAACAACTCAGGCTGTCTCCACAAAACAACATCGCAGATTCATAGCACGAAAAACGCTGGAAAAAGGAACCGCCCCCCCGGGACTCTACCAAATCCTAAAATGTGTGGCAGGCCTGGCACTTTAGACATGCGAAGTTTACAAAAATGCGGCGTCGCGAACGGGACGCGGACCACCTCCTACTACTACTACTACTACTCCTGGTGCTGCTGCTACTACTACTATTATTACTACTACTACTGCTACTACTATTACTACCACTACTACTACTACTGCTGCTGCTGCTACTACTACTACTACTACTGTTACTATTACTATTACTACTACTACTACTACTACTACTACTGATTTTGTCAAGCACCGAGGTCGGGGAGCTCTTGGGAGTTTTTTCGAGATCCCGCATGTGAACCTGGGTTGCTGTGTGGGGAACCTTATTATTTACGATACACCCATGAGAGGGTAACTTAAAACCTAAACCCCCAAACCCTAAACCCGAATCCCTATACCCCATACAATATACCCATAATGAGGTAACTTAAGCCCTAAACCCTAAACCCCATACTATTATGGTAACCTATCTTCAAGTTCCTTAACATCAACCCAGGAATTGTTACAATGGACGTGGTGGAAGCGACCAGGGTGTCGAGCAATCTCAAGGCAGGCAAATGGATCCCTAAGCCTTGGTTTAGGGTTTAGGGTTTAGGGTTTAGGGTCTACAGGGATACCTTTAAATTGATCATATAGGCTATTGTCTAAACTCCTTGAAGGGGCCTAGGAGATTATATGGGGGACTACTTTGGGGGTTATTAAGGGGGATACTAGGAGTGTAGACTATAGCTCATATAGGCTTGAGGGTTTAGGGTTTAGGGGGTTCCCAAAGTTGAGGGTACCCTTTTGGGAGTCTCCATAACATGGATTATCGTATTTCGGGGTCTGGGGTCCCCCTAATTTGGGAAGCTGCCAAATATCTCTATATGGCTCCGTATAATCTCCTCTCTTGATCAAAAAATCCACAGCCCCCCGAATGATGTTCCTCCCGTTTTACAACCTTGGACGTAATTAGGAATTGCGGTTGGGGTTCCGTTGTGTTTTACCATGAGAGGTGGACATTAACCCTATCCATCCATTCATATACATACAATTTGTAAATACATAAATACACCTAAACCCCAAACCCCTAGACCCTCAAACCCAAAACTTTAAACTCCTAAACCCAAAGCCCTGAACCCCTAGACCCTGAACCCAAAACCCAAAACCCTAAACTCTTGCAGGCCCAAACCCCATCGCTTGCACCCCCGTTAAGGCATCAAAGGTAGCGAAGAAGACTGCGCCAACCACTGCAACATGGCAGATGCGGCCTGTAGTGCGCTTCTAGGATGCTCTTAAGGAACTTATGGATTAGGTTTTAGGATTCAGGGATTAGGATGTAGGGTCAGGGATTAGGCTTTAGGGATTTGGGATTAAGATTTAGGGTCAGGGATTAGGGTTTAGGGATTTGGGATTAGGGTTTAGGGTTTAGGGATTAGGGTTTAGAGTTTATGGATTTGGGATTAGGGTTTAGGGTTTAGGGATTAGGGTTTAAGGTTGAGGGATTAGAATTTGGGGTTTAGGGTTGAGGGATTAGGATTGGGGTGTAGTTTGGGTCATTACACCTCCCAGTAACTGTCCTTAAAGGGGTCTTGCTCAGGGGGCTAGTAGAACTCCTAGTTCCTATTGGGGCAATGGTTATGTTATCTACGCATCCATGTTGTGGTAGCTTGATTTAGATTCCTTGTCGCAACCCAGGTTTGTCCATATGAGTGCCCATGGAGGGTTATGCTTCTTGCGCCGCTGGGTATCTTCCGATCCGGTTGGCGAATGTGAGAAGGGGCAGATCGGAACAGAGAGCTGGCTGTTCACCACCTATGTCAGCTGAGGGTCGTCAATTCGTCTGTGCTATGTAGGCCTTGCCTGCATGCATTTACCTTTTTCGACCGGCTGGCATCAAGAAGCCAGCATGCAAATGCCTTGGATGCGTAAGAACAATCAGTATCATGAATGGTGTCCCGGCCGTGTACCTAAACCCTCTACATACCCTAAATCAGGAACCATATACCCCAATTTCAGGGTATGAGGAGGCTCCTGGTACGCAGCCGCGAAGTATTATCACAGACTGCAACGTTTAGCACGAAGGCCAGATGAGCTTGACTGCATTAAGGCAGCCGAAGAAAGTGACACCAAAAAAACATATCTCTGGTTAGGGAATCAAGGGTTTAGGGTTTAGGGTTTAGGGAATGAAGGAATGGAGAACAAGGTAAAAATGGAAACTACTTTGTGGTTAGGAGTTTTATGAGCTGTAGTCGCAACTCTTCAAAATCGTTAGATAGGGGATAGTCTAGAATCTGGGAGACCATTACAGGGGTTATTTAGGGGGTACGAGAAGTTTAGAGTATGGCTCATATGAGGCTATTCTATCGGGACTACCCAAGGTATCCCTAATCCCTAAACCTCAAACCTTAAACCCCTTTCCGACCAGAGGAAATAGTGCCCTCCCGGTTTGTCATACTACGTCTTGCTTGCTGCTTGCTCATTCAAGCAGAAGACCCGTGTAGCAGCACTGTTAAAGGGTTTATATACCATAGTGGCCTAAACTATTAGCAATATTATGGTTCCATATCCCTTGTATAATTATAGTCTATGGTACCTCAAATGGACCTCCAAATGATATTGTAATTATTTAGACCGATAAACCCTAAACCCTCCACCCTATGAATATTGATAATTATTTAGGATGTATGAACATCTTTGCCACAGACTCACCATGGGAGCCAGGACTTCATCATAGCCAGCAACGGTGCAGAAACGGATTGTAGTTTGGTATTGGTACTGTCTCCACTCAGCAGCAATCTGTAATAATTAGCGTTCATATTGGGGGCTCTGCGTCACCAGATTTTGGCCGTGCATGGGTGGATTCAGTGGGGGCAGTACCCTAAACCCTTAACCCTAAACCCTACTACTTGCAGGCTAAGGGCATGCTCCTTCACAACCCCACACTACCTGTGCCCAAGCTGACATGTTGACAAAGATCCTCATGTAATCAACTCTCCCCCCCTGTAGGACCTGAGTTTTTACGCCTAAGCCCTAAACCCTAAACCCTAAACCTCAAACCTCTAAACCCGAAACCCTTTTTTGGGAATTAATCTCCTTCCGTCATATTAAACCCTATCTGCCCCCCTGCCACCCGAACTTCTGCGTTTGCTTGGGAGGGGTGGAGCCATAAAGCCGAAGCCCTCAACCGATTCCTTCGTCTCTTCGGCTCCATGCCACACCTTTAAACCCTAAGCCCTAAACC